GTCCAGAACAACCAGACAAACTCCCCCACCACACCAAACTCTGGTACGTCCCCGGCCCGCGCGTTAAGGCGTCCCGAAGGGCAGTCTGTAGAGGACACCCTCGATGGTGCCCGAGTGAGTTCGGTTGGGCTGAGAAGGCTGCAGCTCCCTGGCAGACCGGGCTGTGGTACCCAGCCCCAGGACCCCCGGGCTGGAGCGCTGCAGGGGCTGAGCTCTGCCGTAGGGGGTCCCAGCAGCTGCGGCGGCGATGCTCCCCCAGCCTTACGGGAGCGGAGCGGGGCCCACGTCATTCCCGCAGTGGTATTGTTTGCCTGGCTCAGGCTCCTGGCGGCTTCTTTGTTTCTGTAGATATTTTAAGCTTTCTCTCGTTCAATGAAAATAACATAAAACGAGGCAGAGCTCCAAGTCTGTTTTTGTAGAACTGTTACATTTATTGTCAAGATAAGAACAAAATATAGGAATATTTTAGCATCCACTCATTAGAATTTAAACTCTGGGTAGCTTGAAATTGAGTTGATATTATATATAGAAATCTAAGGATGCAACTTTTATTTTGGAGTTGCTCTGCCACATGTTCTTCTACAGTATTTGAAAATTGTCTTGCTAGTGTGTTGTTGACATTTTGCGAATCTAAGCATTAAACTAGCAGGGGGAGTGTGTAGAGAGGAAGTTGCTTTTTTGGGCTCCAGAGGCAAAGGTTTCCACGAAGCACAGATGTGTTTGACGCTATTTACAGTGAAGTTTTGCTGTGACTTAGTTGTAGACAATTTCGAAAGGGTATAAAGATACACGGGAAGAAAAAAAAAAAACTACCTCGATCAAAAGAAAGTAAGAAAAAGGTTCCTCCTCTGATGGTAATAAATCGGCTCATTAGAAATTGCCGGCCATTTCCTTTTGAAGGAGACATTAAGCACAGGCTCAAAATGAGTTTTTCTCCGAGTGTTTGGTGCTCGTCTCACGATGAGCGATCCACCAGAGGAAAGCTCTTGATGTGTGAGCCCGTTGCTGTGCAGGCTGCTGTTCCCCTGGGGTGCCCGGGGCTGTCCCAGCGTGGCGCAGCCGGCACAGGGTGAGACCCTGCGGCAGCCCCCTCCGGGACGCTCTGAGCCGGGGGGCAGGGGGCCG